CAGCTCGATCCGCGTAGAAAAGAACCGCAGAAGAGGCGCGAAGAAAGAGACGATGAAATCGCAGAAAGTAGACGCAGAAGCCCTTCGTCGTTTGGCACAAAGAAAAGACGACGATAGCAAGGTAGTCCTTCGTCGTCGTCGTCGAGTGCGGGAAACTTCGTCTTCATCTTTGAGTCAAGAATCAAACCAGGCAGGTTTAGGTGTTATATATATATATATATATATATATAATGGGAGAGAGAGAGAAATTATAAAAATTCTTTTTGGTCATTTTTGCGATGTGCAAATATCGGGGCATACGTTTTAAAGAATTTGATTTCAAGTTCTTATTGTTTCTGATTATTACATAAAGAAATATGTAGCTATTTGGAAAATTTCACGTGGACATGGTGAAGGAATCAAACTTTATAAGTTTAGTAATATTTGTCACCCTACAAGGTATGTTGAGGAGAAATATGAGAGTTAGGAGGAAGAGAGGAAGACGGAGAGAGGGAGAGAGGAAGTAGCCACCTAAACAAGCCCATCACTTCCAACTATTATATTTTGCATAAGCGCTTACCTTGCCACTTTTTTTTGGTAGGTTTGTTCTATATTCTTAGTTTCATGCTCCGGTCATCTTATTAGGGAAATTTACATACAAAACACCCAATTCTTATGCATTTTCTTATCTCATCTTATCTCACACCCCACCCAAACTTTGATTTTTACAAGTTAAGCACATCTTTTCAAACATAGGAAAAGGTGCTTAACTTGTAAAAATCAAAGTTTGGTTATGAGATAAGTAATATCATAAGAATTGGGTGCTATGTTTGTAAGAACTCCTTATTTCAACTTTTAATATTCTTGTTGCATTTGTAATTTGCAATGCAACTGTATCGCCCTGAAAGCAATATTTATTTTATTTTCTAATAAGTTTTCTCTGTAATTCATTGAAACAGACGCATCTTCCTCCTGTCTTTTACCAATGACACGGTTGCAGATGCATCAATCATCTTGCATATGAAAGTTGTTGAATAATGTCAAAGAATATGTTTAAGACCATTGTCTGGTAGAATTTGGAAGAATGGTTTAGAAATTATCACCTTAAAGACTTGATGAAGGCTCCATTTGTTAAAAATAATAGAAATATAACTTAGATGTTTAAGGCGTTTGTAACAGCGGAAAAATAGTGCTCGATCACTGTAAAGATAAGATGGGAGAAATGGTTGGCCAAACTCCAAGGCAATATAGCTATAGAAATTGCTGAAAATAAGAAAAAAATACTTGTCCAAAGTAGAATGTACATCTCTTGTAATACTCAACAGTAATAAAGGGAAAATGTCAACTCTAAATAGCTGTAATAACGTACTAGGCTAATGATAATATTGATGATAACAAAATTAGTCTTTCAACTTCTCTCTTCAACATATATATTTTATCTTTTTTGGTTTACTTTATCATGGCCACAAATGCATGATATTCATGATTGCACTAAAACAATAAAAATTCAAGATGCCAGAATCTATTTGCTTAATACTACAACAACAACAACAACAAAACGTTTGTCCCACTAAGTGGGGTCGGCTACATGAATCTTTTTTCTCCATTCCGCCCTATTTAGTGTCATATTTTCATTTAATTCTAATAAATTAGATCATTTTTTATACAATATGCTCAAATCCTCCTAGATCTACCTCTGCCTTTCTTAACATAAGTCGAATATAAAATATCTACTCTTCCAATCAGATCATTAGATGGCCGACGTTTAATGTGACCAAACCATCTAAGATGACTCTTTCTAATTTTGTCCGTCACTGGAGCTACCCGAACCCTATCACAGATATATTCATTTCGCATTTTGTCTCAAAGTGTAAAGCCAATCATCCACCTAAGCATTCTCATCTCGGCAACACTTAACTTAGTTTTATGCTTCACTTTTAAAGGCCAACATTCAACGCCATAGAGCATTGCAGGTCTCACCACCATCTTATAAAATTTTCCTTTTAGTCTAAGCGGTACTTCTCTATCACACAATAGGCCCAAAGCATTCCTCCACTTCAACCAACCAACTTGAATTCTACTAATAATATCCCCAACAATATCACCATCACTTTGAACAATAGGCCTGAGATATCTAAAGCGTTCACACCTTTTAATAATTTGATCACCCATAGTTACATTTCTGTCACTAGAGCTACTATTACTAAAATTACATTCCATGTATTCTGTTTTTAGTTCTACTCAAACGAAGGCCTTTAGACTCCAAGGTACACCTCCATAATTCAAGTTTTTCCTGTGCTTTTTCTTGTCTTATGCACGAGAAGGTTATTATCAGCAAAAGACATACACCAAGGTACATTCTCCTGTAAGTGTCCAGTAAGACCATTCATAACTAAAACAAAAAGTTATGGGCTTAAAGCTAATCCCTGATGTAAACCAACAGAAATAAGAAAATATTTGGTCAATCATCTTTCTGTTTGAACACAAGTAACAACACTTGTATACATATCTTTAATTAATGACTTGAATATATGACTTGAATATAACTCATATCAACACCTTTCTTCTCAAGAACTCTCCAAAGGATTTCTCTTGGAACATTATCGCAAGCTTTTTCTCAATCAATAAAAATCACATGTAGATCCTCCTTATTTTCTCTGGACTTCTCTATCAAACCTCTTAATAAATGTGTAGCTTCCATGGTAGACCTGCCCGACATAAATCCAAATTTATTATGAGAAATCTTTGTAGTACGTCTTAACCTATGTTCAATTACCCTCTCCCATAATTTTGAAGTATGACACATCAACTTAATTCTTCTATAATTTGCTCGCTCTTGTGCATCCCCTTTATTATTAAAAATGGGACCAAAATACTCTTCCTCCACTCCTCAGGCATTTGTTTAATTTCATAATAATATTAAAGAGTTTAGTAAGCCAAGAAACTCCAACATCTCCTAAATTTTTCCACACTTTAATTGGGATATCATCCGGTCCTACAGACTTTCCACCCATGTTTTTCTTTAAAGTCTCATCAACTTATTTCTTACTGATGAGATGATAAAAATGAAACAATTTATTATTATTTGCAATATTAAGTTCACTAAGGTCGATTTTATTTTCCAAAACTTTATTAAAAAATTTCTCAAAATAACTCGTCCACCTATTTTGAATATCTTTTTCTAAGAAAAACACTTTTTGATTTTCATCTTTAATACACTTTACTTGAGTTAAATCTTCAATTTTCTTTTTTCTTTGTCTGGTTAGTTTATACATATATTTTTTTTATATAAAAATCATTAAAATTAGAAGTTTTAACGTCACAGATTGTTCTCTTGGATTCCATACGGGCCGTCTGATGATGATTCTTAGTATTCTTTATTTTACAACTCTTCATCTTAAAATCTAGAACTAATAATCCATTTTGAGTACTTAAATCCTCACTTGGAATGACTTTGCAATATTTACATTCTCAACGATCTCTTTTTCTCATAAGAAAATAATCAAAATATTAGCATTTAATATAAGTAATAATATGCTCATCTCTTTTCTTGAATAAATAATAATCCATTTAATATAAGTAATAATATGCTCATCTCTTTTCTTGAATAAGTAATATAAGTAATAATATGACAATAACAAAATCATATGCTAAAGCAAAATCTAATATAACTTTACCTTCTCCAAAATCGTAGCTACCGTGAATATTTCTAAAATCTTCCACCACTCTTCCGACATGTCCATTTAAATCTCTTCCAATAAAAATTCTTCTTTAAGAAGTATCATTTTTATTAAGTCTTCTAAGTCATTCTAGAATTTATCTTTAGAACCTTTATCTAAACCTACTTGAGGAGCATAAACACTTACAATATTAAAAATCTTAATATCAACAATAATCTTAAGTGTTATAATTCTATCTCCAACTCTATTAATTTTATAATATTATCTTTCAAATTGTTATCTATAATTACATTTGCACTATTTCTAATGTGACTCTTACCTGAATACCAAAGTTTAAAACCTTAGTTATGAATCTCTGTAGTCTTTTCTCCAACTCATTTAGTTTCTTAAACACGTAAGACATTTATCTTTCTATGAATCATACTATCAACAAATTTCATTAATTTACCAGTGAGAGTACCTATATTTCAAGATCTTATCCTAATATTAGTTTCACGTACTAACTTCTTTACTCACATCTGTCCGTAATGTGAGAACTTTTGCTTATTTGACACCACACCTGGACGTCGGTGTAGCGGTCATTGCACACTTTTTACTGTATTTTGACCATACAACGCGTCGCTTTCAGGAGACGCTCTAGCACTTACACAATGACCAAAAGGATTCATGTCATGATTTTTCGACAAGTTTTACGCTGTCGAAGACAACCCTCCACTTTTCACATCTGGACTTTGGACCAGTAATGGCAGTGTTAATTTATTTGTTGTATGTATTTGAAAATAAGGGGTAAGCTAACTGTAACGTAAATTAAAGTAAAATTTTTTTATTTTCATGAGATTCTTTTTTATGTTTGATTGGAAAAAAAAAATGAAGAATTAAAAGATAAGAAGGATAACTTAGATGATGTTGCTAGAACAAAGCAGACTATAGCGGAGTCCGTGACGATGGCATCTCATGCAGAAGTTATAACACTCGACAAAGGCTGATCCTCAATTCAATGAACTTTGCACAAAGAACTACAGGCTGTAAATCGCATAGTGGAAGCATGTTGTTGCAGGCAGTGTCGGGAGGTTGCCAGCGAGAGTTTGGTAGGTTGTGACGTTGTATAGTTGGAATTTGCCTGATTTGGACAAATTTTAATACTTTGAATTTCTTTTGCTCTCAGCCAAACAACAAATTAAGTAAAACTTCCATATTTTGAATGTGGTGCACTCAAAATCCTCCCAAATAACCACCTCTTAAGAATCAACAGAATCAGTAAAATTAGCATCATTTTCTCACACCCATTCAGCTACAACATTCTTAACCATATTATTATATCATTATTCCTTTTCATAACAGGCTCCGGGTGCAGCTCGGGGTGAACATGCCGGCTCAAGCTAACCAAAAGCTACTTCATGAAGGGGGTCCTGATTCTCCTGAAGTTGATCTCTTTGAGGTATATGATGTTGTTCTCTATCTTGGTATCATAGACATACTGCAAGAATATAACTTAACAAAGAAAGTGGAGCATGCCTGTAAATCACTGAAACATGATCCCCTCACCATCTCTGCTGTAGAACCCAAACTCTATTCCAGACGTTTCTTTAGTTTTTTGGAGAAAGTTTTCCCTGAACAGATTTGAGATTTACTACAACCTTACTGTATCATGATTCAGTTTGCTGGTTCCTGTAAAAGAAGATGAAGATATTGATTTATTGTTTATTCAATTCAGGTTTAGTTATTTATTTTTATTTTATTTTATTTTATTTTATTTTTGCATTGGGCCTACTTTATGGCTACTGGATGACAAATAGATCTAGTCTGGTGATTGTAGAACCTGTCCAATAATTGTAATTGTTGTATTTGTGCAATTACCCCAAGTTCAGCTATGAATTTAAATTAAAATAACTGGGATTGGGTTTAGGGTTCTTTTTTCTTTTTTTTATAGCATTAGTGGATCAGATCACTGCCATCCAAAAATTGGGTAATTACACAATATAGTTATGGAAGTAGTTGGAAAGGGCTTGTATTTTGATCTGTTATTTTCACGTCTTTTTTAAGTGTATGAACACATTTCTCCCATTTTCTTATTGGTAGATACCATGTGAATAGGGCTTTAAATGACTTGAGCTTGAGAGAGTTTAGGCTTGGCTTGTGTTTGACTCGCTCGAAATTGGTTGTGAGCAGTGTGTTCGTGTTCGGCTCGATTTATATATTCTTCTTCACGTCCGGCTCAAAATTACCTCGTTTAAATTTAATTAGGAAAAATAGATATAGGATGTTGGATTCTAACTTGCACCAATTATGTGCAATAAAAGACGCAGAATCACATGACCAGATAATCTGTTATGATTTAAATTTAGATGTAAATATAACAAATATGCTATAATATAAATAATATATAATATATTATTATATAAATAATATATATAATTTCTTTATTTTGAGCTAAAATAAGCTGAACATGATCAAACAAGTATTGTTTGTGTTTGACTATAAAAAATCGTGTTTTAACTTGTTCACTTAAAAGGATTCAAAATCGAGCTACTTAAGGTTTAGAACACAAGCATTTTTGATAGCCTTACATGTGATGACGGACTCGGGTGGCACTTGAGTTAAAAGACCATTGTGAATAGGCAAAATTTTTAAAACTAACATAACTTAAAATCAACATAATTCTAGAGACCAACATAATTTTTGATAAAAATTTTAAAAACCAACATAATTCTATGTATTCATTTGGCCTGTTGTATATAGACGGTTTCATTGTGGCTACCATGTAAGAAGGCATTTTGTGCCATTGCTTGTGCAAGCCTTGAGACTGCTTGGAACTACATTATCAGAGCAAGGCATGATACTAGCTTATGATACCTTTCTCGGTACCAAAATCTAATTTACATTTGATGCATTCACTTTTTTGTTTTAATATAAAAAAACAAAAATGTGTGTCTAAAATGTGAACAAATATTACGTCTGAAACGTCCGGACTCCGGACGTAGAGATACATCCGGAGTGCAATGAAATCAAGCCAAGTGGAAGTGACAGAAAAATTAAAATAAAAATTCTTTCAACACAAGGGAATATTCCCCCGTGTTATTCCGTGTTAATTTAGGTGTTATTACGGTGATATTTTTGAATTATTGTGTTTTGAGAATATTCTCTGTATTATAATAACACAATAACACATCAATACCACTACAATAACGCTTGAACAATGTGAAATAACACGGGAGGAATATTTCGCTGTGTTACCGGGCCGGATTATAAGAAAACTGAGTTTTTTTTTTCTGTCAGCTCTAAATGGAGGTGATTCATTGGAGTTCGGAAGTATCTCTATGTCCGGACGGACATAATAATTTTTGCTAACATGTACAGTTGATTCGAACAAGTTAATAATGCCTCATTTTTGTTTCCAATTTCAAATTGATAAATGGCACGGAGTTATAATACCCCAATTAAACTCGAGCATTTTACACTAAAGAGTTGTTTGGCTTGATGTAAAATAGATGTAAAGTAAAATAAATACATTAGTTTTATCCTTTTATTGTTTGGTAATTAACAACTGCAAAGTGAGATAACGATTCAACGGACATAGAAATTTTGAGAATATGCAAAAAGCTCCATAATAAAACTCTTCCTCTTTGCTCGTTTCCTGCAAATGAATGCTAGTGAAATCCTGCATATAAGGCTCTGAATTTAGCTCGAAGATCGTTAATTGCTTAGTGATTGATTCGAATTTTGGATCCGATAGAAATAAATGAACCGAGCTACGAACCAAAATTTTGGATCAAATTTTTCTCGAGCCGAGCGTAGCCCTACTTGAAATCGGATCATTAACAACATATGATTGTGAATTTAGCTAATTTGGCTGAAGATCATTAATCGCTCGAAAATTGATTCAAATTTTGACTCGCATCGAGATTTGATTGAAATAAATGAGCCAAGCTAAGAGCCATAATTTTCAATCAAATTTTTTTTCGAGCCGATTTTGAGATTTCATGATATGACAAGCAGGTTAAGGTATGAATAGATACAACTAGAAATTAGTTAAGGTCATGCACGTGAAGCCAAAAATTGATTCTAATTACAATGATGACCATGTTTTTAAGCTAATTGTCAGGGTATATGAGAATCGTTTTGATTGAGAATTGCCCATGTCTAATAATGGTGCTTATGAAAATCATATATATTAAATATATGACTTATATGATGACTCATTAAATTTATACTCTCTTTTTTTTTTTTTTGAGGGGAAATGAACTCCATCTAATATTCGAGATGAACATAAAATCATGAAATTTTAGTTGTGAAATGTTAAAACATTTGATGAGTGTTTGGTGAAGCAAATTTCAAGAATTTTATATTTTGCCTTAGCATAAAATATTTCAATTGGTCTACGAATTTGATTGTATGCGCATGCATTTTAAAGATGGGTGAGCAATTAGAAGATAATGAAGAACAGTTGTCGGAATCTAATAAGCAATATTATTATTCAACTGATCATGCAGTTGTCACTATCGTAGTAAGTGGTATACGCTTATTATTACATGAAACGAGAAGTGAAGGAAGAAACTATAATTCTGATTGAGATATCCAACGTCAAATATATCTCTCTAGACTATATCTTGATTCTGACTGTGATTGTGTTAACATGGTGCAGATGAAAAAAGAACATTTTTTTCAAGTTATGCAACTAAAAAGATTGTTTATCGATACAAGTTATGTGCGTATGGATGACAAGTTGTTATGTTCCTACAGACACTTTGCTACAGTATTCATAATCGAGTCATACATTTTAACTTTCAAATATCAGGAGATACTATCAGTAAATACTTTAATAATGTATTATATGTTGTTCGAGAGTTGCAACATGAGATGATTAAGTCTCTACTATTCTACACTCCATATGAGATACAAGCAAATATTAGATTTATGACATTTTTAAAGGTACACTCAAACATAAGTCGAGTTACAATTTATTTATAATATTTCTTCTAAAATAATTATGTGAATAGGATTGTGTTAGCACTATAAATGATACACATCAAGGCAAGAGTACCTAAGAAGCACAAACCCACCTTTAGAGGAAGAAAACCATATCCATGTTAAAATGTGCTAGTAGTCGTGGAATTTGACTTGAAGTTTACATATGTTCTAGCAGATTGGGAAGGTTGAACCCATGATGCGACTGTCCTTAGAAATGTATTAGAAGGACCTAATAGATTACGTGTTCCAAAAGATATATGAATTAGCCCATATAAAATTTCATAATAAGTTATATTTGTTAATTAATATATATTTTAAATTATTACAGGTAATTACTACTTAGCTGGTGTTGGTTACTCAACAAAAAAATGTTCTTGACATTTTTTTTCAAGGATAATCAACCAGATCTTCGTGTTTGAAGTAAAATTTGTGTAGCCATCTGAGTCGACTCTGAAAGAGAACACATGAGAAAAAAAGTTTACGTGACCGAGGGATCTCCATCCAACGACAAAAAATAGCAAAAGTCATGACCACTGATATATAACTCACCTTCAATTGAATCGGAATGACACTGTAATGATTCATAACAGCCTGGAACTCGTGACACAGAGGAAGGTGAAGTCCCTGGACGAATTGGTTCTGATACAACACGAGTCGTCCCCCATAATCGTCAGTCGCCTAATCATTCGGGTCGGATGCTTGTAGCACAATGTCTTCATCGTTGACATACCTCCTCTGAGGCCACAAGGCCTCAATAGAAGACAACACAGGGTGCTCTAATGTCGACACTATCCCAAATGCCTGAGGTAAATATTTTGAAGCAATGCGGGCGCCGAACGAGTGTACGAGCGAAGAAGAAACAACCAAAGATTAGGAAATAAAAAAGTGAAATAAAAAGGGGCCTCAAAATTATATATATATGGCTCATAGTGAGTTGAAACGCCACTAACTGTACCTCGAGAATGTGAATTCGTCATAGAAAAGAAAAAAAAAATTTACATAAATAAGAAAACTATAATATAAGGAACAAAAACATATATTTATTCAGACAAGAAAAATTTTACAGTTGGCTCGCCGACCTCATGTGTCAAAACCAAAGATTGCCTCAAAAACTCTTAATACAAAACACGACCCTCTAATGTAAACCTATCAAAACCATCGGCTCAGCTTGAAATTGAGAAACCGAGCATGCCTCTCTTACGCCAGTCATGTCCATCCACAGGTTCACAGTCTCCATTCGGAGGGTGCCAGTTCAGTCGGGTGGTCCACCACGTAAACTTGACGGTCGGTGATGATGAACAAATGTAATCCATATCTACAAATGAGATCGAGCCAAATTAAATTTCAAACCACCTCCACAGTGATTCAAGCAAGTGTTTTAGCCTCGATCCACTTTAAAAAGTAATTGATCTCCACCAAGAGATACTTTGACTGGCCTTTCCATGGAGGAAAGGGTCCTAGGATGTCCAACCCCCAAGTAGCGAACGACCAGGAGCTAGGAATCGACTAAAGCGTTCAAGCAGTTGATAATACAAAGTTGTATACTTCTGACACTACAAGAATTTCTTCGAAAACTCCTTCGCTTTCTTTAAAAGTGTGGGCCGTAAGTACCATTACCGTTGCACCCAATAGACCAAAGTATTACCTTTAGAGTGAATTACACATTCCCTAGAGTGTACATCCCGTAGGACGTATTGTGCTTCATCTTACTTCAAACATCTCAAGAACACCAAAGTTACAGACCACCTAAAGAGTTTTCCTTTGATTATGAAATACAACATAGCTTTGATCTTAAAACATCTTGGATCTGTATTGTGTTATGATATTTTCTCAGTCTCCAAATAGAGGATGTATGGACCGAACCAACTTTTTGTTCCATCAACCATCACCTTTATGGTCTCAGGCTCCTAAATTATCGGTCAGGTAAGCATCTGAGGCAACCCGCCCAAACGAATGTGTTTGGATAGCATATTAGTGACGTGATTTTCTTCCTAGCTGACATGTTTGATTCAACATTTTCTACTTTCGATCTCCTTCATTTTGACAAGGTATTTAGCCATTAAATTGTCTCACCTTGATTCCTTGTTGACTTGATTCATGACCAATAAGGAGTCTGACTTTACCAGCAAATCCCGAGTGCCTATTTCGTATGCCTAATGGGGCCCAAGAATCAAATTTTTGTACTTCGCTTGATTATTTCTAACATCGAACTCCATCGAGATCGACTGATATAGATGTTCTCCGACTGGGCTCATTAAAACCAATCCTAGCCCAATGGTTGCCTGTTTAGATGCTCCCTTAATGTGCAAAATACGCGTTCGATTATTGATAGGATTTTTCTTGTTTAGCTTCTCCGTTTCGGAAAAATCCCGCCAAGAAATCAGTGATTTCTTGAATTTTGATGGTTGTCTGAGGGATATAAGTGACATTGTACTCATTGAGCTCCACTCCTCACTTTAATAATTGGTTGGAATGCTTCGGTTTTGTGAGTACAAATTTTAACGGATGATCGGTAATGATCCGAATCAAATGCATTTTAAAATATGGTTGAAGCCTATGAGTTGAAATAATCAAGGTAAATGCTAACCTTTTCATAATTGAGTACTTGTTTTCAACTCCTCTAAGCACTCGACTGATATGATAAATCGAAAATTATTTCCCCGCATCTTCTCTTACCAGTGTTGTATTAACACCTCTCGCTCGACTCCAAGATACGAAGAAAATTCCTCTATTGGCTTCGAACTTTGAAGCAATGCCGGCGATGGGCATCCATTTGAAATGTTGATTATTCCTTAGCTCCCTAAAGAACACTACAATTTGTCAACCAGCTTTGATATAAATCGACTGAGCTGTGTTATTCGACCGATCAAATTTTGAACTTGTTTAGTGTTTCGGAGAGATGTCATATCCAAAATTGCTTGTCCTTTTTCAAGGTTGTCTTTTTATTCCTTCGGAAGTAAACAAAAAATCTAAGAATTTTTCAATCGATGCTCCAAAAGTACATTTCAAAGGATTTAACTTCATATTAAACTTTTTTGTGTTTTGAAAGTTTCCTTTAAATCTTCTGTGTTGTTCGGTCGATCTATTTTTAACGAAGACATCATCCACATATACTTCAACTTTTTTTTTCTTTTTTGATTGCAAAAATTACATTCACTGGAGTTAAGCCCCACATCTCCCAATGCACGTGTGACTACTCACAGAATTGAGACGGTTACAGATCATAATTTTGATTCTGACCCTAGTTGCCCTTGCCATTGCCTCGGTTATCCCGGGTCCGCTTGTTGTTATCATAGCGCGGTCAACCAACAATGATTTGGCTATCCTTCAGCTTATTTCCTTCAACTTGTGCCTTCCTTTTCGTCTATTGTGGTCAAATGATTCTGGTCTGACACTAGAGGGGCCAGTAAGGCCACTTCGGCGGCAATGTGACTGTTAACCAACTCAAACAGTTAAGGGAAAGACTTCTATTGGAGTAAACTCAACTCGTGCCCATCTTTAACTTTGTATGCCAATACAGTCTGGGCAATTAGAGGTTGCAAAGTCCTTCACTTCTAGTATCTCCTTCTTGAATGGAGTGATGTAAGCCTGCAAACTTTCATTCTCTCCTTACTTTATTTGGAGCAGAGTCTGAGACTTCTTCCTCAGCTTTTGCACATTGGCGAAGTATGCCACAAAGAGTTTCTTAAACTTGGTGAATGTCAGAATAACACCAACTGATAGACTAAGAAAGCGCCGAAGAGCAGACTCTTTAAGAGTTGTCAAGAAAACCCAACACTTTATTGTTGTTGATCTGCAACGCTTCGATCGATGATTCAAAAGAAGATACATGATCAGTCGGATCATTCTTCCCCTTGTAAGGATCCAAATGAGGAATCCTTAACTTTGTCGGTGGTACTGCCTCCCTGATTTGTCGAGTGAAAGCACCATTGGGGGGTGGCTGGAATGGTGCCTCAACTCACTCTTCCTATCGGCAGAGACTCGGTGATGTCGACATGTTGGGAATCTATTTTCTCTCTGGTCACTCAACTGCCCACTCGACCGTTGGGCGCTAACGGATTCTCAAGGGGAACCACTTGAGGGCAAGCTCCATTAGATCCCATCTCCAGAAGAGGTGATTAATAATTCCTTCGAATTATTGTTTCACGAATGGACTCAAACTGACCCATCATTTGATCCCACAACTCCTAGACTTGCAGTTGAATTTCTTGATGCACAAAATTTGCTGTGAACTCCGATGATGTCGCATCTCTCTGTTACGATTTTCTTTCATAGTGTGCTCTGTTTCTTGTCTGCGACATGTCCACACTGATCATAATGTTGAATTCTAAAATCTCTTTCAGAATACACGCCCTAAGAGTTACAACTGAGAAGAGAATAAGATTAGAGAAAAAAAGAGAGCGAAAAGTCCATTCATTTATGTCCCAACCTCCTACTTATAGGGTTTTAAAAATACAGTTATAGAAAAAAGAAATAATAATTACAATAATTATCCAAATAATTGAATCAACACGTCTATCGAGTGAAAAATGCATCATAATACAACAATAAATATAGTGTCAATCAACCGCCACATACTTCAGTTTTGGCTTATCATGTCAATCGACCGCATACATCAAATCGATCAAAGGAAACCAACCGATTATGATAAGAGATCCGTCCGTTCATAGGTTTGTCCGTCAATAGGTTTATCGATCGATTTCACCGTGTACTCGATCGACTGCTTGGCTAATCAACACCAGCTCTTTAGCTCGGAACTTCGATTGCCAGAGTCTCCATTTTTATCCGTTCGATCCCTCTGAGATTCATATTGGCATTTTCACATCATACGCTATGATTTACATCTCTAACACCAAAACATAATATATACACATATATATATACATATATAGATATATATGTATGAGACATGAAAGTTTAGGTGTTATACATGCAAATACATAGGAATTGGGTGGTGTGCATGTAAATATTCCTAAAAAAAAGTAAAAAAAAAAAAAAAATCGCCATAGTTAAGCAACTGCAGGCACTTTTCATCTGGCTTCCACCACTTTTAAGAAAGGCAAGTATCATGACATAACTTTTGAATTACATTAAATTTAATTCAAAATTTAAGGCCTAACATTACACTTCCATAAATAGGATAGAATTCGACCGTCCGATCAAGATCGCGATGCCGTCACTCGCTGTAAGCTTACCGCTGCAGTCGGCCGATAAAGCAATAAAATTCCATAAATAAAAAAAAAAAAGAAAAAAAAAAGTAATAAAGTGAAAAATTAAAGGCCGTGGCCCCCACTTCGCGTTGCCCAAAAGCTACCGCGACAGCGCTACCAAACGGACGAAGCTTAAGAAAAAAAAAAACAATTAAGAAAATAAGTTATTTTGAAAAATAATTAAAGATTTAGCCCATCGACGCCGCACTGTTTGTAACTGAGCGACTGTCTCCTTGGACTGATCACAATGACACAGTCCACTGACACCTAAAGAGTTAAGAAATGAAATTATTAAAATAAAACTCAATAAGGTTAATTTAAAGTATAATGTTGCACTTGCAATACAAATAACCACATATGTAACTACTAAATCTTAAATTTTGCATGTATGCCGCCTAATATGTGCATGAAAGGATGCAGGTCACATAATGGTATTTTCTATGTAAGATTGATGCAAGTTAGAAAATTCGCAATGGCGGCCTGAAAAACTAATGCAGATTCAGATGAACTGAGATAGCTAGCAGAAACATTAAAAGTTTTTATATTGAAAGTAGGAATAAAGGAAGAGTCACGGAGTTTTGCCAGCTAAATGATTTGATTATGAATTGATGATTATGAATACAATTCATTGTTCCACAAACGAGAAATGGTTAAATATTTTCTCGAATTACAATTTCGGTGCACGACAAGAACTAGTTGCCACACGGTAGGGAGCAGGTGCATTAGGAGCGGTGACTATTGGAGCTTTAGGGCACCATCTTTGGGGTCAGTGCGACGTTCGGGATTATCGCAACTTCGTATGTTGCTTCGGAATTCTGTGGCGTCTGTTTTTGCTTTGGTTGTGCTTCATCGAAATTGGCGGGCGGCGACAGCCAATGGTTGGCAATTACACGAGAACGAGCTATTCGACGGATCGTCAGTGTAGGATTCTGGGCTTCAGCTCCCTCTTCTTGATGCTCTAACCTTCCTCTTGCTTGAGATCTAGTCCGATTCTCAAGAAGGGGTGGAGCTCCATTTATAGAGTCCATGTTGCAAATAAAAAAAGAATCTGGACCACTTTGATTGGATGCCCCAAAGAGATCTTTTTGATCAAACAACATTTGATGAAGTTTAAGTAAATTAATGATGTCAAAATTAAGCGTTCTTCAGGCCGTTGGATTCATCATATCGAGAAGCTTGATTTGACTATAGGCATGTTAGATTCATAATCTGTTTGACATCTCAATTATGTCTAGAAAGCTCTGGAAAGTTGTTTAGTGGCTTGGTCTGAGCTTGATTTGATTCGGGTATTTTAAGCCTATAAATAGGCCAAAGAGGGGAGGAAGGAGGTGGAGTCCCACAGTCTACTAGCTGGTGATCAACTAGATTTTTCATAAGAAGAAAGTTGCCGATGAACTGTGTAGCAGGTGATTAAGGGAATCTCCTTTCGAGTCACTGTTGCATTTTTTGGAGGACAAAGAAAGACATTCTTGAACTGCATAACAGATAATTAACGGGATCATTCACATTGTTGTTGTGTTGATATAAAGAAGAAAGTCACCCCCAACTTGCGTAGCAAGTGATTAACATGATCTTTGGCATTGCTGTGAAGAAGAAAGTCGTCTTTGACCTGCATAGCAGGTGATTAACGGAATCTTCTTTCATATTGATGTTGTGTTGCTGTGAAGAAGAATGTCATCTCCAACATATATAACAAACAATCAATGAGATATTTTTTATGTTAATATAAAGAAGAAAGTTGTCGCCAACATGCCTAGCAAGCTATTAATGAGATATTCTTTCACATTGCTGAAAAAGAATAAAGTCATCCCTAACTTGCATAACAAATGATCAACAAAACCTTTTTTCGCGTTGCTATGAAGAAGAAAGTCATCCCCAATCAACGAGATCTTCTTCCTCGTTGTTGTCGCGCTTTCCAAGAAAGGTTTCCTACACTCCTTCCATGAGTCTTGGAGAAGCTCATCTCCTTGAAAATTGAGAGAAATACTATAATTTTGAGGAGGCAATTATGATGCCATGAAAATGTGTTGACTTATTTTTGCCTTTGTACAATATATGTTTGTCTTTGTAGTATTTCAATGTAATTTGTATGTGTTTGTTTGTACGTCTTTTTTTTACTTGATATATTAAAAATTTTATTGTTGCTTATGAGATTATATTTTTCTTTCCTTCGGAGGTGGTTCTTTTCTAGAATGTTTTTACCCCACTCCCAGGATGTTGTTGCCCAACTTTTAGTATGATGTCACCTGACTTATGGGCTATAGATGCCCAACTTATGAGGTGTTATTGATGCCTTCCATCAAGTGGGAATGCGTATAGTTGAATTTAATTCTTACGAGGCTTATGCCTTTTGAGACTCTCCTGACTTGTCAAATGTGTGGAAATATGCAATCAAATTTAGCACGTACAATTTGTATAAAAAAGAATCTGATATCTTTTGACATATATACCTTCTTAGGCTTTTATCTTGTAAGGTTTGTGTCTTATTAGATTTTTGATTTACATGTCTTCTGAGGCTTGTAGCTTTCTGAGATATTTGATTTACCTGTGTCTTCTGAGTCTTGCAGCCTTCTATGGTCTTTAATATACTTGTGTCTTATAAAACTTGCAGCATTCTGAGGTCCTCAATGTACATATTCCTTCTGAGGCTTGTAACCTTCTGAAGTTTTTGATGTACCGCCTTCTGAGGCTACAGCCTTCTTAGGTCGTCGAGTGGAGACATTGTCAACTACTTGTTCTTATGGAGTCTTTTTAGCGATAACCATATCCTCTACTAGCTTCCCATCAAAATTTGTCTTCTAGGCTCATCTTATAGGGGCATCGTAACTTCTCATCGAAACTTGCCTTATGGGGGGTTGTCTTCTCAGATACTATAGCTTCCCATTGAGCCTTGCCTCATGAGCTTGACTTCTTGAGGTATGGTTTCTTCTCATTAATTCTTGTCATTTGAGCTTAACTTCTAGAAGTATGGGTTGAAACCTTATCTGCCACTACGAATGTTCAACTTTTCCTAGACTGTCAGTGGAAGAGC